AGAAAACCGAAGTTCTGTTGTTTGCTCAAAGTCCCAGAGTTAGGGGCAAAGGATAATTAAAATCGAGGTTTTCAGACACCCCACCCAATATTTCCCTCTATTAAAAATGGCTGCTGTGTTTCAAGTTCACATCACCTCCACCTCTATTAGGAATAACACATCAGAATGCAGGAAAAGCTGCGGTAACTCCAGCATTTGCTGAGCGGAGGGTGCTCACGGGGAGGCTGTCCCTGGGCTACGCATTTCCACTAATGCTCCCACCCACCCAGCTCCCTGGCGTGCAGCCTTGATCAGGGCTCCTGAGAACGGAGAAGCAGATTCTGCAGAACTCCCAGCTTCTCTAGCATATAAGGCAGTGCTTTATGTCAAGCTACTCTGATATGTAAATGAAACCCTTCCTAAGCCCAGGACAGACTATCGGTAACGTTTCTTGCTTTGGTGGAGGAGCAGGGGCAACACATTGGGTAAGTTGTAAGGACTGCAGGAGTAAATTCACGTAACCAGCTCCTAGCTTCAAGCAAGCACTCAGCAGTGTTGATCGTAAAGAATGAAAATGTTTCAAAAGGCATGGGACATTTTTCTCACTTGGCTCCATTCTATGAGCCTTAGCTACCTGTGGTATTCTTGGGTCCTGCGCATAAGAAAATAACTGATCCCGCCTTCTTCATTGGTGCTGTTTACACACAGGCAGGCGGAAACAACCAAAGGCATGCACATATGAATACTCAACTCAGCGATTCTCCACTGAGATAACTTTGGGGGACCATTTGGGAACATGGCACGTGGTCCTTGTCCCTAATTCCAAGTCAGGGTTGTTGGGAAGGCTAAAACAACTGAAGAGGTTCCACAAATAATTTCATCCAGCACCTCGCTGACAGTATTCAGAACCCTTTGAGGGAGGAGTGTATGGCAAGTTATGGACACAAACTTAAAATTCAGAGAGCAGAAGGAGCATTGTAATTCCAGAAAGCAGGGGAAAGATCTGTGTAGGCAGTGAATGGCTGCTGCGTTGCACACAGGTGGACAGAGCCATGAATTAATTTGCTCGGGAGCCTCAGGATTAGATCAAAGTCAACCAGGGACAGCCATGCTTCTGCAGGGTGCTTGTTGAATGAACACAGCAGACTCCACTTCCCATCAGCAGGTGCCTCCGCCCAATTCAAGTTGAGCCTCACAGAGGAGCTGGGAGGCAAAGGCCTTCTCTTGCTTCGACCATTGAACAGCTGGCAGTGTTAATTTCAGAACAGTCCTTCTCTGCTTCTGTTCCCACCTGTGTATAAACTCACCCGGTGAAGCCGCCATGCTAACGGCGGCTGCTTCAGGGCTTTATTGCACAGTCATAAAAAGTGTCACGGTAAGAGGCACTGAAGTGGTTCTGTTTCATTGAAATTCCTAGTATGCTTGCCTTGAGAAGACCGCCTGAGCCTCCAGCTAATTACACTATGCGGAGGGGTCTGTGACTTCCTCCTTCCTGGGAAAGATAATTGACACATTTGTTGAGGGATATTGCCTTATCCAACTGTGTGTGTGGAGGCAAGTATTTGCTGTGGGGGATGTGCGCGCGTGCGTGTGGAAGTGTGTGCTCACGCATGAGCATTCGACACATGCAGATATGTATATGTGTTTGGTCTTGTGTGAATCGCTGTCTGCTCCAGAGATAGTTCCCAGACACCAGGATTCTTAGACAGACGCCTCCGGAAAGCACTCCCATTCCCTTTTCTCAGGAAATCCACGAGGAATTTGACTGATGGCAAAATGGGTTAGATTCCAAACAGGCAGTCACTGGAAATTCTACACACACCTTTGCGCCCTACAAGAATCTACTTGCACTATCAGCTCCTCTGAGCTGAAAAGAAAAAAAGGTGGGAAACCTCTTATGGGCTGTGGCCAAGAGCATTAGAAAGCTTGCACCACCGCCCTAGGGTCCAGCAGGAACTATTTGGCCACGCACAGTGGTACAAACCGGCAGCCCCGTTACAGGAGGCTGAGGCAGGAGCATCGCTTGATCCCAGCAGCTGAGACCAAGCTTCGGACATTATTGCTGTTTGTTCCGGAGAGGGTGTGAATTGGAACCTTGGTTTTTAGGAATGAAATCATCAGCCCCGGTTTTCTGTGTGACCGATGCTGGAGTACTGTCCAGGGTTACATTTGGTTGTGAAAGGCGTCACTGCCCACTCCTGCTCCTGCAGGTCTCAGACATGGCAGGTGCTGGCTGTGGATGTTATCCAGGTGGGTGGCTTCATCGTAAGCCATTTAGGTTTAAGACAGAAGCAGACATATACAGACACACCGAATCACCACCCCCAAATCTTCAAACTCTGAAATGTTATCTCTTGGCGGTACTCATCAGCAAGAATCCTATACGATGTACAGTTATTTCCTAGTGAAGATGTCTTTCAGCTTCTGAGAACTTCTTTGGGGTCTCTCAGAACTTTTGGGGGGGTCTCTCACAGAACTTCTTTTGGGTCTCTCTCTCTTTCTCTCTGTCTTGCACACATACAACACTTTCCCAAATTCCATGGTGTCTCCTCTGAGTGCCATAGAATCCTGCCTGGAAACTGGTGGGTTCGCTTTACTTGGAGCAGACTCTGAAGCTAAAACTCAGCCATTTGTCCACTCACTGGAGAGGGGGTTAGGCAAGCTGGCTGCTTTTAAACAGAGCACACATCCTGACTGAGAAACGGCAGTTCGCAGTTTCTGTTCTTCCAGAATCATTTTGAGACAATTGCATCCGCACATTTTTAGACACATTTTTCCCTCTCACACAACACAACCTAAATATTTGCATCCTTCACAAAGACTCAAGCACCTGAGCTACTGAGACTTCCGTATTTTCCTTTTGCTTTCTCCGTGGATTCCAGCTACAAACAGGCTTTTGAACGACGCATCAGAATCACTTAGGACTTGTTGCAAAGTACGGACTCACACATATGACATGGCTCCTTTGGACCCAAACAAATTGATTTTATATTTTCCTATGGTTGTGTGTTTGAGACAGAGTCTTACAATCCAGGCTGCCCCTAGACAGCAATCCTCCTGCCTCTGCTTCTTGAGTGCTGAGATTACAGGCGTCAGTCACCAGGATTGACAGACTTCAGTTGTGTTCTAAGATTTGCTGATTTATTTTAGGGTGTGTATTGTACCTGTGTGAGTTCATGTGCACCACATGTGGGCCTGGTGCTCGGGGAGTACAGAGAGTGTGGGATTCCCTGGAATTAGAGTTACGGGTGGAAGTGACCTGCCTGATGTCGGTGCTGGAAACTGAACCTGGGCCTCTAGACGAGCAGAAAGGACTAAGTCAGAGCCATCTCTCCAACCCCCACCTGTTTTAAGTTAAACCTTCGGCAGCTTAGTTCTTACACTGTTGTGGTTTGTGTTGCCTTTTCGTGGCTTGCTTGGCAGGTAGTTGCATTTTCTCTTAGACAACCTACATTTCTGGGTGGAGCTATTGAACCTTCCAAGCATTCCAGGCAAGCGCTGAAAGAAGACAAAGCTAACATGGCTTGGCATCATCATCTGGCAACACCAGAAGTACTGAGGGCTAAAGTGGAACCATAGAGGGAGCTCTAGATACTTGGGGTCCAGCTCTAAAAATTAAACACATACCAAAGGCAAGCAATTCCCTTGAAGGAAAGCGAATGGTGACTGCAAGACCCTTGTCACTGTGGAGGTTTAGGTACCATTTTAGGCACATTTCATTTATTTGCTAACAAACGCCATCAAGTCCCTTGACCAAACTTTACCTCTCGCACATTAAAAGTTTTGCTTCTGAGACACCTCTCGAAGTTATTGCCTTACCAAAGACCTGTGGGAGATACACGATCCCCATAGATGGGGCTAGAGTGGGTGGCCTTTTTAGACATAACTTACTCTAAGACTTTGGCATTATACGTGCCACAGCCACATGCTTCTCTAGAGCACAAGTAGATGGCACCGGCCACAAATCAGAAACCTGTGCACTGAAATACACATAATCTATACCCAGGCAGTGCTTGTATGTGGGAGGGAGAGAAGGATACGTTTAACCGTACTGGTGCCCACTCCTACTCACTCCGTTAACAGATCAACTTCAGATAAAGGCCAGGATCCTCCCTGCTAACCAATGAGTATTTTAGGGCTTTCACAGGGAGTGGAGCTCCTGAAGGGTCTCCCGGAGTGAGGAAATGGCGCTTCAGAAGCCTGAACCTGCAGTGGCGGTCCCATAGCCCTGTACAAAACAGGAGCTAGGAGCCCCACTGTGACCTCCCGTCTGCGTTTTTTCTGGGAATGTGGATTCCATCCCCCTGGGGGGTGCGCCGCATGCTGCGGGAGCGACTTCCTGTTTGCGTTTTCTGAGAAGGTGGACTCCTTCCCCCTGGGGTTCGCTTCCTGTTTGCGTTTTTCTGGGAAGGGGGACTCCTTCCCCCTGGGGTTCCCCGCATGCAGGCATGCAGGATTTGTGGAATAAGGAAAACCAAAAGAAAGATTGCCGAGTTTGCCAAGGTCTGGGATACCCCGCGTCGGCTCTGCCTGTCATGGCCTCAAACTAAATTCCTTTCTGTGTTCCTCACGTGCCACTCTGCCCAGGATCGCTTTAGAACCCCAGAGGCAGAGAAACAAAAGCAGGCAAGTTTGTTTTTCCAGAACAAATGGGGCGGTTTGGGGTCCTGGTGGAAACAGCCCTGACAGCCGGCTCTGTGTCTTGGGACACTAAGGGCTTTAACGTGTTCCATTCAAGACTGTTTAGTCTGGGTGCGGAGGATTCATTTATCAGCGTTCAGCTCTAGTGTCACGGAGGCAGTTCTGATTTCCAGGGATTTCATTATCATCTGTATGTGCCTGCCCCAAAAGAAATGGGACCGAGAGCAGAGTTACTGCGGGGTCACTTAAAAGCGTGTCCTTTTCATTCATACTCCTTAATGGTATTGCCAGTGTGTGGGGGAGGGGAACCCTAGTGCTAGAGTACTTAATAAATACCACCTGGCTCAGCATGGCCAACTGCTTCCCGCTGGCTTTTGCAGAAGTGGCAATGCATCGAGGACACATCTGGCAAGCTCCGAATCCACAAGTGTAAAGGACCCAGCGACCTGCTCACCGTCCGTCAGAGCACGCGCAACCTCTACTCTCGCGGCTTGCACGACAAAGACAAAGAGTGCCATTGTAGGGAGTCCGGGTATCGATCCAGCAGAAGCCAGAGAAAGAATCAAAGGCAGTTCCTGAGGAACCAAGGAACACCAAGTAAGCCATACCTCGTGGCAGGCGCAACGGCTATTGAGACCCTCCCACTTCCGGCACAACTTAGATAGTGCTGGTGCCTAGATTTCAGAATAAAAGCAAAATCATTGTTTCGTTTAAAGTAAGATAGTAAAGACGGGTTAGAAATTTTACTTTGCGAATATTTTCACTTAGCGTGGAATGAAAATCCCCTCAGGCCGCAGAGCGGCTGGAATGAAAGAACTGCAGTGGATATTCTGCCGGACCAGGGTGGGTGGCTTAGGGTCCGTTTTACTGAACCTTCATGGTAATGCCCTGATATGTCTGTCTGCCTTAAGTTGCTTTAAAAGTTATACTTCAGGTATCAGTTCATGTGTGTTTGAACCTATGAAGAAAAGACAGGAGCAGTTTTTAAAGGCTTATTTTTCATATTTGTACCTTTAAATGTTGTCAAACCGCTTATTATGCTGACTGGCAGGATCAAATTAGTTCATCTCAACATAGCATGCATTTGCTGCTGACAATTTCTATCCTAAAAACTCTCAGGTAGCTGATTGACACGTGAGGTTATAGATTTACAGAAAAAACGAAAACAAACTGGGCAGCCATCCATTGAAGTGTGTGAGTCTAGTGCCACCTAGTGACATATGTGAGAAGTGGCTCAACTCTGTGTTAACTTTTCTGTTAGGAAAGTTATTCTTAAACCTGTCCAAGATTTGGACACAACTTATTCAAGAAAATCATAGGACATTTTGTGCTGAATAGAGTGGACTTTAGAATCACAAATCCCTGATTTGTATCCAAATTTCCACATTTTTTCCTTCGCCCCCACAAATTCTTAAAGAGGTTCATAACCAAAAAAGTTCAGAACCACTGAGTTGGCCAGCGGTGGTGGTGCACGCCATTTGAGTTCGAGGGCAGCTTGATCTACAAAACGAGTACCAGGACAGTCAAGGCTACATCAAGAAATCCTGTCTCGAAACCCTCCCCCAAAACCCCACCTTGTTATGGGTTTGTCTTTCTTCCTGGAAGGAGACTGATCATATTCAAACTACACAAGAAAATCACCGCCGACACAGCCACCCTGAGTCAAACATCTCACTTAGTGACAGGGGCACCCTTCCCTTCCAGAAAGTTCTCACTGTGTGGAATCTCGTGTGACCTAGAACAGGAGTGGGTTTCCTCTTTCCCTGACATAATGGCTATGTAAGTCATCCTCTGTCATGGGGGCCACCTCCTCACCTGGGAACCAAGGGAGCAGTCTCCCCTGGAGGAGGCTGACAATTCCCGTTGCCCCATCTCTACCAGGCTTCTCTCTTACTTAGAAAAGACCAGGGGAGTGTGTAAACAAAGGTCAGAGCTTACACGCTAAATCTCTCCTCCAGGACCCAGTGAGCAAGAGCTGTACCGTCCTGTGGTCCTGATGCACGATGACCCTTACTCTTCGCCTTGTGTGATTAAACGTTACATGGCCAATGCAAGCATTCACAGACTACTATTTTTAGAGCATTCCCCTGTATTTGTGTAAACACGAGGTGTTAAGGGCATTCATCCACTTGAAAAGGCAGCCCAAGGCAGCGGTGAGATGTAAGCGCACACCGCACATCCCGGTTCTGGAACCCAGGGAAAGGCAAGCAAAACTCAAGGCTTTGGTTCCCTCCTCAGAAACCGTGGACGAGAGCACCAATTCATGTTTGGTATTTCATGCGTTCTCTCACGTAAGGACCATTATGACAATACCACATTTCAAGATTATGGATTCAAGATAGATCTACCATGTCCTACGGATAATTAAAGCTAAGGGAAAAAGCATCATTATAAATAACAAACGGGGAACATACAGTTCTTCATTAACAGCCATAGCTTAGAGCCATTCATGTTGAAAACTGAATGTGAAACCACATAGCCTGTGATTGATGGGGGAGGGGCCTGAGGCCACAGCCGTGTGACGTCTGTCACAGGACACAACCAGTGGAGAGCCTGCTTTTGCACCTGTGATTTCAGGAGCTATCCCAGGTATCAAGGTGCCCTGTAGCAATGTAGCCGGCCCTGGCTGTCCCTCTCTAAGACCCCAAGGTGACGGATGATAGTGTTTTCCCTGCCACGCTCACCAGCTAATCTGTATTGTGGCTTTTCCTCTCGTTCCAGAATATAAACCCAGATTTGTGCACACCCGGCAGACTCGGTCCCTGTCTGTCGAATTTGAAGGTGAAATATACGATATAAATCTGGAAGAAGAAGAATTGCAAGTGTTACCACCGAGAAGCATTGCTAAGCGCCACAATGAGGGCCGCCAGGGACTGGGAGGCCCTCAGGCTGTTGCTGGTGACATCAGGAATGAGATGCTGGCAGACAGCAACGATGCGGTGGGGCTGCCCACCACTGTCCGTGTGACACACAAGTGAGTCTGTAGTTTCCAGGGTGGAGGTCAGCGTTACCTCACACCCCATACAGTCACCATGTGGACTTAACGGAAAGTAGCTAGCACTCAGCAATGCCTAAAGGCTTGCCTGCACAAGGGGCACGGGGAAGCAGGGAGAAGCTAGAACCAGCAGCAACCTCAATATATTCTTCGGGTTCCGTTTCATATTTAGCTAACTGGCCAGGAACCCAGTCAGAGCTAGTCTTCCATATCTTAACTTAGCGGTTAAGTTTCTATCCCCGAGTTGTTACCTACAGAAGTGTCTAGAAATCGGTGTATACAATTCTGGGGACTGCCGGAGACTGTTCCATGCTCCATGGTCCCCTGAGTTAGAGCATTGCAGAATCCGGCCTAAGAACTGAATACACCTTGGAGAAAGACAATGGGTCCCAAAGAAACTTCTAGAAAACAGTTGTGGGCTAGGAATGGGTATGTAAGACACAGAAAAACCTGGTCTGCCTCACAAAAGCAGACAAAAAGGGTTGGAAGTCCTACCGACAAGAAACAAACACTATTTCCATAACGTCAAATTTATTAGATCTTCATTTTATCACTAGTGCCATCATCATGGAATACCAGTTCACCCTGAATTCAGATTTGTTAGAATCACACACCCATGTCCACCCAGTTCTATCCCTGGATTCTTACTTTGTTTTAAGACTTATGGTGTTAATGGTGTGTGGGACTAGGGACCTAGCTCAGTTGAGAGAATGTTTACCTAGTTGGCAACAATCCCTAGATTTGGGGCTGGAGAGTTGGCTCATAGCTTAAGAACCCTGGCTGCTCTTCTGGTAGACCCAGGTTTGACTCCCAGCACCACAAAGGTACTCACAACTGTCTATAACCTCAGTGTCAGGGGATCCAACACCCATTCTGGCTTCCACAGATGCTACATGTCCCTGGTCCACGGGTGTGCATACAGAAAAACACCTGTACACACAAACTAAAACTAGATAAACAGTAAAATAAGTCCTGGGACCTGGAGTTGATCACACACTATATAAACTAGGCATCCAGTATTACACCTATGATCCCAGCCCTCGGGAATTCAGCAGGATCAGAAGTCCAACCTGGGATGCACGAAACTGTCTTAAGAGTGACCTAGCCGGGCAGTGGTGGCGCATACCTTTAATCCCAGCACTCAGGAGGCAGAGACAGGCCCAGCCTGGTCTGGTCTATAAGAGCTAGTTCCAGGACAGACTCCAAAGCTACAGAGACCCTATCTCAAAAATCCAGCCGGGGGGGGGACCCTAAATGGAGAAGCTGAGGGTCTAGTTCAGCTCAGTGTAAAATGCTTGTCTAGCCAGAGACCCAGGTTAGAGCCTTAGCATGTCAAAACAGGAAAAGGAAAATATCAGAGTCTAGGTGGAAATACTTGAGGTATTTTTAAAAGGCAAATAATGGGATGATATGTTTCTTTCAAGAAGTCATTTTGCATTTGTGACTGAAAATCCACCCCCCACCCCCCACACACTTTAAAAGCTTGAGCTGGAGAGTGGAGTTTATTCAAGGGATGATGAATATGAAAAGCAGTGACCGCACCTCTCTTCCTGCCACTGGCCAGGATGCATTCTCCTTTACCCTTGTGTAGAATCCGCTCTAAGCTTGGTGCTTGTATCTATACGAAGAGGTTGAAAGGTATTGAGTTCTCTTTGCTAGCTCTGGTGTTTCCTGATACTAGACCCTAAGTCTGTTTCTCTTGGTCCTGTTTGGTTTTCAGATGCTTCATCCTTCCAAATGATACAATCCATTGTGAGAGAGAGCTGTACCAGTCGGCCAGAGCGTGGAAGGACCATAAGGCCTACATCGATAAAGAGGTCAGTGCTGGGCTGGGGTAGAGCTCGGTGAAGAGCGCTTGATAGTCGTAAACAAGGACCTTAGTTCTAGCCCAGCACCGCAAGCAGGTGAACACACGCTCGGAAAGCCATCCGCATGGCTGTGTGCTCAGTCTAACCCTGTTGTGCTAGGCTGACCCATGTGGCTCTGTGCTGTAGTGGATGAACATTCTGTGTGCACCTGTCCTCCTTTTCGTAATTGCCTGAAAACTGGGAAATCCTTACCAAAGTCCTCATCCAAATTCCTTTGATGAGCACAGTGCTTTAGTATTTTCCCACGAGCGAGCACACATATATTGAGTATATACTGTATTCTAGAGGACGCTAAATAAAATTATAGCCTCTGTCTTTTGACATTCTGTGTGTTCGTTTGTATGATAATTTGTTTATATTATTTAGAATTTCAACTGAATTTCAATGAGATTAAACAATTAAAGCTCTTGTAAAAACCATTTTATATTAAAAAAAAAAAACCTGGAAAATCCTCCAAGGTATTTGTCTTCCTCCAGTTCCATAGCAATAGTCCTACTGAAAGCAAGCGTGGCAAAACCAGAAATGAATGCAATAGTCTTTTGGATATTTTTGAGAAAAATATTCAGTTATGAAGAGCCGTCTGCTAATGTTTCTGTGGTGCATTGATTGGGATGTAGGTGGGATATGTGTGTGTTCTCTGACTCGCTCATCCCAGCTGTTCTCTGGAACAGCAAAGAAGGTGAACGATCTTTTGTTAAGAAAACCCTGATCTTCGAAGGGAATTGTGGGAATGTGTCTTTTCCAGATTGAAGTTCTGCAAGATAAAATTAAGAATTTAAGAGAAGTGAGGGGACACCTGAAGAAAAGGAAGCCGGAGGAGTGTAGCTGCGGTAAGCAGAGGTGAGCACGCGTCCTGGGGTCACTTCACTTCCCGGCACAAACGAGGAGCCGGGGTAGTTGGAGGCCACTTCTCTTTCTTAATGAATCCATCGCCACAAGGCGTATTGTTCTCATCCACTTAAGTCAAACTAAATATTCATCCACTTAGTGTGTGTGTGTGTGTTTGTGTGATGAGCCATTTAATCAAATGAAGGGATATATAGATATATCTAATATATATGTACATATATACATGATATCTATATATATGTGTGTATATATGTATATGTGTGTATATATGTGTGTATGTATATGAATGAGAGACTAACTGACTTTAACTGACTTTTTAATCTTCTGGCCTGCAGCTATTACAACAAAGAGAAAGGTGTGAAAAGGCAGGAGAAGTTAAAAAACCATCTTCACCCTTTCAAGTGAGTAACTCCGCGTTTGTCATGTTTGCCAGGAGTCGGGGACTGTCCACAGTAACTGGAGGGACTCCTGGGTTCCACAGGGGTGTCTCCTCCATGCCTGGTCCTCTAGAGGGATCGATGGAGAGTAACAGACCCTGGACTAAATTAGGGTGTTCAACAGAGTAGCCCGCAATAGTGCTGACCTCTCGGAAAGTAAGGAAGCCCGCGGACATTAAAGTGCTAGCAGAAGTTGTACGTGTAAGAGCGTTTGTATTTGAGTGCAAACTTTAAACTGTGTGGGAAAACAAACCGCCTGCCAAGGCTCAGGGAAGTGAAAAGAGTGGATGAGTTGGAAGATGATGAGGAGCGCTGTGAAATAGCATCCTTTGAACGTGACTTCGCTATTGGTCCCCTGGTGATTACAGGCATGTGATCAAGCCAACCACAGTGCTGGCATGGGTGAGGGCGGAGCTCAGCAGGCCCACCCCTGAGGAGCTATTGGTAGTTGATAGCCTCTGGAGGAGGGAGAATCATTCTTCTGTAGGGGTGTGGTAGGTTGCCCATGCTCCAGTGAATGGCTCCCACCCCTGCACATATAAATGAGCAGCACTAATTAACCTCAGTGACTGGAAGGGAGGGAGGGAGGGAGGGAGATGAAGTTGGGAAGAGGATGTGTGGAGGGAGATCTGGGGGACATGCAGGGGGTAGATATGATCATATCTCGTATACATCGATGGAATTTGCAATTCCAAAAAATAAATATTTTAAAGAAGAAACATGACAAAATACTTAATTTAAAAATGTATCATATATAATTTGCCAAATGGTTTTTAATCCACCTGTTAAGCCATCCCATCCAACTAACAATTCATTGACTCTGGCTGCCTGACAGGTACAGAGCTAGGAGAGCACATCATTGTCCACGGGTTGTGATACACTGACACATGCCAACGGTTATTTCCGTCAATGCTTAAGAATAAGTAACTGTCAGGCTTATTAAAGTTATGAGAGAACTGCCACTCAGTGAGTTTGCCTCCGTGACACCGGCTATATCTGAAGCCGTCTGTGAGAACCAGAGGTCACCTGAGGTCGGGTTCCATGTACACCTGTGTGTCTTCCATGTACACGTTTGTGCAAGGCTTTTCCTAAAGTCCTTCCTGGTCATCCAAACAGTTCCTTGTCTTGGTCCAGGGAGGCTGCTGCCCAGGAGGTGGACAGCAAACTGCAACTCTTCAAGGAGAACCGCCGAAGGAAGAAGGCGAGGAAGGAGAAGAAACGCCAGAGGAAGGGGGAGGAGTGCAGCCTGCCTGGGCTCACCTGCTTCACACACGACAACAACCACTGGCAGACCGCCCCCTTCTGGAATCGTAAGTCCCCCAGTGGCGCCCCCTCCTGGGTACAGAGAGCACCTCTTCTTCTGTACCAACGTAGACCAAGAATCCTACAGGTAGAACACAGCACATGATCCAAAAGGAAACTGCAGTATCGTTCTGTGCTCAGATCGTTTTGCTAGGAAACAAGTTTTCCTTTAGAATCTATTGTTTTGTTTTGTTTGTGTTAATTTTCGTTCTGGTTTTTGAAGATGCCGTCTTCCTATGAATTCTGAGCTGGCCTAGAACTGTGTGGGCCAGGTTGGCCTCCCATGTACAATCTTCCTGGCTTGCCCTCTCAAATGCTGGAGTGACGGGTGTACTGGTTTTGATTCCTAGAAAGATTTGGTTTTTCTGTTGAGAGATACCAAGTCTCTCCTTGAGGTCTCACACAGAGGCTGCCCAAGGTGGTTACTTCCCAATAAACCCACCCAGGTCAGTAGCAATAAACACCTGTGAAGTATTGCCCCAAGAAAATTGGTTTCCGCCCTAACCCTAACACATGTGTCTTAAAATAAAAACACAGTAAAGATACTGTCAATGCAGAGCCCACACCCTGCTTATCCTGTGCCCCTTTGACCATGGGGTCCGTAAAAGTCTTCCATTTTGTCTGGGATGGCAGAAGATGCAGAATATCCGTGTCTTGTTGAAGAGTGCTTTTGTTTCCTTGCGTCTCTGCATGGAGCTCACAGCAGTAGAGGGATCATGCCCAGGATCTAGTGGCCTTGATTGAAGGCCGACCAGGAGCACAGATAAAAACCCCAGTCTTCTAAGGGTCAGTGGAGGGCAGCCAGGCAGCTTCTCAAACTGGCCTGTGGAGGTCCCCTGAGATGGCAGACCTGCTCCGGGCAGCTTGTGGCTCTTCGTCCTGCCCCTGCTTGAGTTGGGTCTGTCTTTACCTGTGTGTTCACAATCACAGTGAGGCCAAGTACCTCTTAGTCATGGCATTCCGCTTTTAACGTGACTCTTGAAATGGAGTTGGGGGAGGGGATGTCCCTGTGGGCTATTCAGATTGCTGAGGGCTCGGTGTCTGTCCTCATCATACTTTGATTCTAGTGGGAAGGGGAAGGCAGGTAACCAAATGAGCCAAGCAAAATAATTACACTTTGTAGCCATGGAATGAAGGAAACGGTGACTAAAGCGTTTGAGGGTACCCTTTAGAGATGAAGAAGATAGTACCTGTGGTAACCATCTTCTCACCACCGTGGAATTGATGCCTGAGAGAGTCGACTTGCATTTCAGCCCAGAGTCTTAAGAGGTTTTGTTTGGTTGATCGATCTTCTTACTTTGGGACTCGTGATAGATGGATCTGTCTATCCCTGGTGGGGAGTCACAGGGGAGCACGTGATAGAGGGATCTATCCACCTCACGGTATCTAAGTGAGTCACAGAAGCAAAGTGAGAAAGAAGGAAGGCAGCCCCCTCCTCCTCCCGCACCCCGCCCCTGTAGTCATCATTAAGCATAAGCCCAGGGGTGTCTTGCCTCCTACAAGGTCCCAGCTCATAAAGGTTTGATTGCTTCCCAATAGCACTGCACGGGGGGCCTTGAGGGGCAGTCAATATCCAGCAATGGGTCTTTTTACAAAAGTGATGGTTAGGCTGAAACCTAAAGAGTTATAGTGATTGTCCAGATGAAAAAGATTAGCATCCCAGCAGAGTGAGCTTGTGAGCAGGGGTCAGAAGTTTTATACTTGTATGTTTTATGAAATAAGTTCACAACATGTTTAAATTATTGATTTGGAAATTTTCCTTTTTTGGCGGGGGGGTTCTAGACAGGGTTGCTCTGTAGCTTTGGAGCCTGTCCTGGAACTAGCTCGTGTAGACCAGGCTGGCCTTGAACTCACAGAGATCCGCTGGCCTCTGCCTCCCAAGTGCTAGGATTAAAGGCGTGCGCCACCACCGCCTAGGTGGTTTGGAAATTTTCTATATCAATTAGAAAATACTGGTTGCCTGGATTTTAGTATGTAGGTATGAACTAAATGTTCATATAAAAAGAATAAAAATTATGAGTGAAATACTAAGAGCACCTTCTATAAAAAAATCAAACAGATGAAAATATACTCTGTTTTGTAGATATTCCTTTGTAAAAACTGTGTCTGGGATGAGGGAGAGGTGACTGCGGAGCACACAGAACACAGGGGAGTTGAGATCAACAAGACCAAAATCTCTGTGCCATCATGACTGACACATGTCATTGTCCAGGCTCACCTGGCACGCAGGAGGCAGAGGCAGAGGCAGAGGCAGAGGGATCATCGTGAGACTGAGGCTAGCCTGGGCAGCATGGTCCAAATCCATACACTGGGCAGCAGCAAGAGTAGTGTGTGTAGGTTTGCCAGCTGACACAAGTAAGCCCTTTTGAGGGGCATCAGCAATAAGGAGGCTGCAGCCCATAATGGTCAGTTATGGAGCACAATGTACCTCCCCTTCAGCTTTTAACTGCCCCCCAAATCTGGTCAGTTAAAATATTTGAACTCATAATCCCCTCTCAGTCACTGTTTCAAAGATCCACTTTGGCTCACAGGGCCAGATCTAGTGTGTTCAATATTGCAAAGGGCAGATGTCTCACAGCTAAGTCAGCCTTCCAACTAGAGTGCCTGCTGTCAGCTGTCAGTCACCTAATTCTGGGCCTCAGTTTTCCCATCTATGAGTGGGTATGGATACAATAATGTGTCTAACAGTTCTTTGAGAACTAAATGAGCTAAGCCATTCAAACATTCTACATCAGAGGTGCATTCCATTGACTGTACCTATCTTAAATGATTTAAGAAATATTTTTGAAACCAGTTCTGAAACCCCATTATTTCTCCCTCCATTTTTACAAGAAGAAGAATGGGTGGCTGGTTGTAAAATTTGATGTCTCTTAAATACTTTCTACAAGTTAGCCAGAGAGCCTCTCTATGTCCAAAAGGTGTTGATGGATAAATCTCATTGCATATTGAAATATTGTAGAAAGGTCTTGGGATAACTCAACCAGTAAAGTGCTTTACCATGTAAACATGAAGACCGGAATTCATCCCCAGGACCCATATAAGCAGCCTTGGTAACCATGGTTACAATCTCATTGCTGGGGAGAAAATTGGGACTGAGGCCAGCCAGTGTAGACTGCTTTGGTCTGGGAGTTCCAGACCAAAGAGAGATCCTGTCCCAAAAGCAAGGCGAGTGTCAGCTGAGGAACGACACCCAGAGTTGGCCTCTGCCCTCTACATATATACACATGGGAACCCTCCCACATGCGAGCATGCATGCTCCCGCTCACGCACAGACAGGGCTGCAGAGGCCTTCCATAATTGCAAATAACACCACCTCCAATTCCATGAAGCTGGATTCTACCCTCGTCTCAGACTCTGTCCCAATACATAGTTGTGACACTGGCTGTGTGACCCTGAGACACAGTGGGGACACTAATTCTGTCACCTTCTGAAACAGCCCTGTTTTCCTCTTCCAGAAAACATAAAAACACCCGCTCTTCTCCAACCACTCATTCCATTTTGGAGACCACCACCTTCTAGAATTAAGGAGGGTAACTAACTAAGGGGCCTGCAACTTGACCTTGGTCTCCAGCCTGTGAGAGTCCCCTGCATTTTCCCAGGATGCAGAGAGGGAAGGATGCTATTGTCTCGGACAGCCAATCACACAGTGTTTATTAGAAAGCCACCCTGAAGCTTGTAAAGAGGTACTGACATGGCCAGCTTGTGAAGGTTTCTCGTTCTGTTTTTTTCTTTTTTCCCCGACAGTGGGATCTTTCTGCGCATGCACGAGTTCTAACAATAACACATACTGGTGTTTGCGTACAGTTAATGAGACGCACAATTTTCTCTTTTGTGAGTTTGCTACCGGCTTTCTGGAGTATTTTGACATGAATACAGATCCCTATCAGGTAAGACAATATGCTTTCATTTGCTGAGAGCGGTTGGAAACGGGATAACCAGTCACGTGCTCACGTCCATTGTCCTGACCACTCTGTCCACAGCTCACAAATACAGTGCACACAGTGGAACGGGGCATTTTGAACCAGCTGCACATACAGTTAATGGAGCTCCGAAGCTGCCAAGGGTATAAGCAGTGCAACCCAAGACCCAAGAGCCTTGACATTGGTAAGGAAAAAATATTGCTTCTTTCTGTTTTCTTTATAAAACTCTTTGTATTATCAAGATTTCTCCTTTCGAAACATTTCCATGTATAAGCATATAGTTTAGAGCACTTACAAGAGAATCTTTGCGAGCAGCTCCAAACATAATTTGATTTCTCAGTCTCTCACCTGGTTACAGTGATGGGAAGCTGAACTGACTGAAGGACCAAGTGTGAGTAACCCTTCACTCTCTTGCATGTGTCTGCTGTATCAGAAAACCTCAGTTCTGACAGAAGCATCCATGGGAAGGTGAGATCAAGGCTTTGGGGATTTCTTATGGTTCCCCTTAACAGAGCTTGAGAGCTTAAGTTGAAGCTCTTGTTATAGTAACTTGGTAGAGACACACAGTGACCTGCTTCTTGTCACCATCCAGAACCATCCACCCCTATCTGAATCCCTGCCCAGGACAAGGGAGTTCCAGAGCTTTTACCACCGTCTCCCATTTGAAAAGCTCATAAACTTGGAGTCTGAGATGGTGCTGCGAAGATGTCCCCATTCTACCCCGGTGTGTGCACCTGAATGCTTTTCTCCTTTCGGTTTGCATCGATGCAGCTCTTTGCTCTGTTCGCTCAGCCTTTGCCTCACCAACAAAAGTCACTGTCTACCATTTCTATAGAAATGTAAATGTCAGTTACTCACAGGAGGGAAGAAAAAGAACTGGAGACTACCCTGACATCCCGACAGAATGACAAGCTCAAGTCACTGGCTTTGGAAAGCAGTTTGCAGGAGTCCCCCCCCCACACACACACACACACACTTTGTGAGATGCGTTCTTACTGCACATAGCTGGACTGACCTCCGATTTACTGTGTAACCCAGTATGGCCAGTCTCGATCAAGTGTTGAGACTATAGGTATAAGTCGTAATGCCTGACTTGCAACCTCTCTCTCTCTCTCTCTCTCTCTCTCTCTCTCTCTCTCTCTCGTTTTGACTATGTGCACATGTCTGTGTCTGTATATAAGTTTGTACACATGAGTGCAATCCCTCGAAGAGGCTGAATAGAGAGAATATCCTTATGCCCTGGAGCTGGACTTACAGGCAATTGGAAGCCACAAACTCTGGTTGCCTAAAGAGCACTGTGTGCTCTTAACTAGTGGGCCATTTTTCCCATCCCAGCTGGAGCATATTTAATGCAATCAAGTCTCTACCTGTGATTTGTAGGTTGTGTGTAGAGCCAGCATCTCTAGCAATAAAAATGGCAGCCATCTGGTCATGTCACTTGGTGATAAAGCATCAAGGCCAAAAGCCACTTATGGAAGAAAAAGTTTGTTTTGCTCTACAGTTCCTGGGATAAGAGCCCATCATGACAGAGAAGCATAGCAGCAAGTGGTTGGCAAGGTGGTTGGAGCAGGAAGCTGTGAACCAAAAAGAAGAAACAGTGAGAACAGCCATCACAGTGACATTATCAATGCCCAAAGCCCACCACCAGTGACATGCTTCCTCTAGTAAGGCTCTATCTCCCCAAGGTTCTATAACCTTCCCCCAAAAGCTCCTCCAATTGGGGACCAGGTGTTCAAACATCTGAAATGATGGGGGATCACAGACTTGAAGGGAGAAATGAGGTTCTTCTCCCAAAACAATCAGTCCACTTGCTTGTCATTTCCATCACCAAAGGATCCTAGATCAAACAGCCTACAAGAGAGTCCAGCGACATGTCGTGGCTCAGTTCTCCATCCATGTCTAGGGGAAATGACCCAGTCAAGAACCAGGCCTGCAAAGTGGGTCTTTTGGCTTCTTACTCCACTCAGCGTGAAGGTTTGGAAACACCCTGCTTTTATGCTGACCTTTTCCAGAAATCAAAGAAAGGAAAAGAGGGATGAAAAGGGGGAGAAAGCCAACCTGTGGAGGCCTGGGATCTTAGCCAAACTATTTAGAGACAGTAGAAATAGCATTCTCCAAAAGAATACAACACCCTACGTCATCGGCGATGAGTGGCCAGCTCCACTGTGACCCTAAGTCATCAGCGATGAG